CACTATACTTGGAGGGAATACACCATTTCGCGGATAATTCGAAATTTTTTTGACATAAACATCAATTTGAATCTGATTGGAATGGGTGAAAACGAACATTACAAGTTTAATTATGACACCATTGTAGCAGTGTTGTTGATCTTACACCACTAGCTTAAATCTGCATGTTCTAAAAAGAAACACTATACTTGGAGGGAATACACCATTTCGCGGATAATTCGAAATTTTTTTGACATAAACATCAATTTGAATCTGATTGGAATGGGTGAAAACGAACATTACAAGTTTAATTATGACACCATTGTAGCAGTGTTGTTGATCTTACACCACTAGCTTAAATCTGCATGTTCTAAAAAGAAACACTATACTTGGAGGGAATACACCATTTCGCGGATAATTCGAAATTTTTTTGACATAAACATCAATTTGAATCTGATTGGAATGGGTGAAAACGAACATTACAAGTTTAATTATGACAGCATTGTAACAGTGTTGTTGATCTTACACCACCAGCTTAAATCTGTTCTAAAAAGAACCACTATACTTGGAGGGAATACACCATTTCGCGGATAATTCGAAATTTTACATTACGTCGTTATGGTAAATCATTGACATCACTGGAAAGAGCGTCGTAAAATCAGGAAATTTGCCAAAGTTTGAAAATAATCTGATTAAAATTCAAAGAGATACAGAACAGAACTTCAAAAACACTAAATTTTGCTTACAAATGTTTGGCGAGGTTGTAACAAGTCAAGGTCAACCTCAATCTCATGCCGATAGCCCATACATTTCTCATGTAAATTTTGCTGACTTTTAAACGCTGTATCTCCTTGAATTTTCATCGAATCATGCTCAAACCTGGTAAACATACTAATTTTACACTGTTCTTTCTAGTGGTGGTAATCGTTTTTGGTTATTTGCTCAAATTCTAATAGCTGTGTTATCCGTGAAGTGGGTTATTCTCATCAATATCACCCTGACTGGACCCTGAGTCCCTTTTGAATTCTAAACGCGACAACAATGATGATCCCCGCCAATACTCCATTTTTGAATTCAAAGCGAATAACCGCTGTTTTATTTGACAGTAGATTCTCTTATGCAAAGAACTTACCAAACACAAAAGAAAGCACGAGAAAATGTTGTAAGTACAATAGCTCTTTACACTTTTCCCGAGTTGAGTCTAACCCTGTATTCCCAGAAGGCTCATACCTTAAGTCTCATGGGAATACAGGGTTAGTCTTAACTCGGGGAAAATGCAAATTTTCAAGTCTATTGTAATAACGACATTTTATCGTGCTCTATTTTGTGCTTAGTCAGGTCTTTGCGCAAGAGAAACTGTTGTCAAATACACCCGGGGGGGTACTCCCATATATTTGCTATACGGGGACGTGCCGCTGGCCAGGGTATGGTTTTTGGCCTTGCTGTCTTAAACAGGGTATACATTTCACCCGAAATTGTCTTAAACAGGCTCTACAATTTAGATAAAAGACCGATATAATTTTTTTTGTGTAATATTTTCATAAGAAATACCGTAGAAATACCGTTTCACTGTCCCAGGATTAACGTGTTATCAAACATTCATTGCTATGAATTCGAAACTGGAGTATAAATTTGTAATGACGCTGAAGTTGTGCAAAACTTGAAACTATTTACTTCTAAATAGTGCTAGCGTTACAATTGAAAAAATAATAACATAACTTTAACATAACATAATTTAGCAGCATTTAGTCATTACAGTACAAACACTAAAAGCGTGCAACACTTTGCACTATTTACTACAAAATAGTGCTAATTGATACAAATGAAGCATTCAATACCGTCCTGCTTCAGGTCCACTTTTAGTACAAATTAGTACTACTTAGATTTTGTACAGCTGCACGGTTTAAGTGCGATCACTCCATGTACGCTATTTTGGGTTTAAGTTGTACTCAACGCAATGTCTCCTCTCAGACTAGAGTGTCGTATGACGGTCTTAAACCAGCGGTCATAATAAGTTAATAAAAATGGCGGCGCAACAAACTGAACAAAAACACAATCACATAAACTGAAACTTACCTTGATTTGATGCAACATTTTTTGAAACTATTTTTTGGAAAGTTAAAGACTTTTTTTCAGCTTCCAGTCGCTAACAAATCAGAATAAAAGCACCACAGATTTACTTTCTAAGCAATGACTCGTGCCCAGTCGTTTCGCTTTATTTTTCGGTGCGCTCGAAGGCGTTGATGGGAAGAGAGATGACCGCGGTTGAATAGTTTGCACAGGCAGCCCACATATCCGGGAGAATACATTTCGGTAAATTCATGAAAATTTGGCTTGTGAATGAATTATCATATTTTCTTTCCGGGTAAATTTCTATTTACAGTAAGAACATTCAAAAGGTTTCTCTCCAGTATGAGTCCGTGAAAGTACATAACCGGTTATCGCGAGATTAATGCGAACTGGTATAAGGCGGTCTCAGAAAGCTATTCCGAAGAAGGGGAAATTAAATCAAGTACGAATTGTTTGCAGTAACCCGTGCGGATAGTCTTCGTCTCCTAGTCTCTTCACGTTATGCACCTATCAATGTTTTGCCCCAGAGTGGTGGTGGTGGGGGGGATTTGATTTTTAAAATATCCCTGGAGGGGGGATTTCGATTTGAATATATCTCTGGGGAGGGGAAATTTGACACGGAAAATTTGCAACTAATATGAGCGCCATTTTGAATGCCAAGTAATCCTGGAAACTAGTTTTATCCAGAAGTCAACTGGAGCATTTCACGCACCTCGCGACAACCGGCCATCGATAGAAGCAGGCAAGCAAACGGCAATGGATGCATGAAGGTGTTAATTTTGTATTGTATAATCCATCCATCTCATTGGTTAAAACATTAAAATTTCAAAAGTAAGCGTATTTTTTAATATTTTATTTAATATCTGATTCCGACTTCATAAAAGCTTTCCTTAGCTTTAATATTAATAGCAATTCTAAGTGGGGAACATAGCAAATTAGAAGTATTTTTTGGCTATTGTTTTGAGTGCTTATGATTGGATAAGATCTTTTAATACAAAATGGATTATGGACGGTCACGCTTGGAGCCGAGTGCACAAAAACTTACAACAAAAGGAGTTCC